TGTGGGTTTGATCCCCACTCGGGGCACATGCAGGAGTAAATGTATGGATGAGTGGAACAACAAATAGATGTTTCTTTCTTTCTCTCTCTCTCTCTCTCTCAGTTAAGGATATTGTCTCTCTTTTCTCTCTCTCTCTCTCTCCCTCTCTCTCTTTCTCTATCTCTGTCTCTTTTAAAGCTGCCACATCTGAGCATTTTCATGTGCTGGGAAGAGTGCTAAGTGCTTATTAGAGGACACCCAAAAATATAAAGGTCAAATGACATAGAAGTTGATTTTTCTTATATAACAGTCTGGCTGGTCCAGGCTGATGGGCAGCTCAGTTCCATGTGGTCATCCAGGGACCCAGGCTCTCTTTCTCATTGCTCTGCCGTCTCATGGGCGGGTTTCTCAGACCCAGTATTGACCTTTTGTGCTGGATAATTATTAGCTGTGGGCGCTGCCCTGTGTGTTGTGGCATCATTAGCAGTATTGTTGGCTTCTATCCAAAGATCCCAATGGCATCCTCCTCTCCCAGGTGTGATACCCAATGAGTTTCCATATGTTACCAGCTATCCCCTGGGGGATGCGCACCACACCTGGTAAGAGTCCTAGGGCGTGTCCTGGTCTGTCTGGTCAGAGTTGTGGGAAGCGGAAAGGAGCGAAAGTCCAGGGAAAATCCAGCGTGTGTGAAAGTTGGACGTGCCCCTGTAGTTACTTCCATTCTAATCTCTGAACTACACCTAGCTGCAAGGGAGGCTGGCAGATGCCATCTCTCTTCCTTTCTCTCTTGTGTTCCAGGGAAGACTTTCTGGGAACCACCATGGGTCTCCTACACCAATCTCATCCCATTCTCACAGCAGTCCTGGGGGTGGGCCTGACTGCACCACATTTCACTCACCATCCACCTGAGGTGTAACTATTGTTGAAGAAGCTGAAGCCAAGAGGCAAACCTTTTTTTCAGGTCCTCTTAAAATTGCTATACTCAGGCTAGCCAGAGATTCTTTTATTTCTTAAAATATATTTTTATCAATGTATTTTTATTTCAGAGAGGAAGGAAGAGGGAGAGAGAGATAGAAACATCAATGATAAGAGAGAGTCATTGATCGGTTGCCTCTTGCACGCCCCTTACTGGGGATCGAGCCTGCAACCCGGGCATGTGCCTTTGACTGGAATTGAACCTGGGACCCTTCAGTCCGCAGGCTGATGCTCTATCCACTGAGCCAAACCAGCCAGGGCCAGAGATTCTTTGTAGCATCCCAGCTCTTTAGTCCTGAACTCTCAGTCAGCAACTTCTATCGTGAACTTTTCCTGTTTCTCAGCCTATTTGCTATGGCCTGCATACAGTTTTTGTCCATAATATTAATGATGATAACCACAGCTAACATTTACTGAGTATATACTACAGGCTCAACAGTTAACACACAAGAACTCATGTGAGTCCCTTACCACAACCTCGCTAGTTCTGTGTCAGGAGTTACTACCATGAAGGTAAAAGTGAAGGTCAGAGATGGGAAGTCACAGTTCCCGGAACGACTCAGAGTGGCAGAGCCAGGACTGAATCCTGCTCATGGACAGACAGGCCTGTGCCAGAAACCTTCGGTTTGCTCTCCCAGATCTCCCTTCCCCTCTCCCACCTTCCTGCCTTCCCTGGGAGGCGGGCCTGTCTGTATAGCACTAATGGCCCCTCTCCGCTCTGGCTTCCTCCTGGCGAGTGGGGAAAGCAGAGCCAGTCCCTCCCTCAAGGTCTCTGGTAGGCTGTTTCCTCCCCGAGGTCACAGCTCCTTTCAAGGTGGCTCCCTCCACACAGCTCTGTCCTTCCTGTGTTTTTTTTGTTGTTGTTCATCCTCACCCGAGGATATTTTTCCCATTGATTTTTAGAGAGAGTGGAAGAGAGAGAGGGAGGGAGGAAGGGAAGAACGAAAGGAGGGAGATGGAGAGAGAGAAATATTGATGTGAGAGATGGATTGGTTGCCTCCTGCAGGCACCCAGACTGGGGCGGGAGATTGAACCTGCAACCCAGGGACTTGCCCTTGACCAGAAACTGAACCTGAGACTTAGAGGCATGGGCGGGTGCTCTAACCACTGAGAAACACCAGCCAGGGCTGTCCTTCATGGTTTTGACCAGCCACTCCTTCCTTTGTGCCTTTGGGCTAAGAACTGGTAACAACTCTGAAGTTCTTAGCACCAGGAAACTGCCCTGCCCCTGTGGCTTCTGCTTCTAAATGCCCATCAGTCTGTCTTCTAGGCAGCCATAAAAAAAGAGTGAGGGTGCCTTTTGAGAAGGGATTTCTAGGGTCTCCACCCTGGCTGCACCCCTTAAAATTTATTGTTAAAGTTATACTCCAAACGCAAAAGAACGTACATATTATGTGTATAGTTCAATTAATTTTCACCAACCAAATACCTGTATGCAGCCAGCACCCAGATTAAGAAGCATCAAACCTTATCGGCACCCAGAGGCCTTCCAGTTACCTTCATACTTTGTGCTTTACTGCGTCCTCCTCAGGTTGCCCTGTGAGTGTGGTCTCCCCGCCCCTTGCTCTGAGCTGGGGTGACCGCGTGCGCTCATGCCTGGGGCTGTCTCCTCGCAGGTTGTATACCAGCCGATTGAGGCCGAGCCGTCAGTGTCCAAATCGGAGAAGCTGGACCCGCGGCCCTTCCTGAGGGTCCTGGAGGCCATCGACCACAAGTACCCGCCCGAGGAGCGGGGCGACCTCCTGGTCTTCCTCAGCGGCATGGCCGAGATCAGCGCCGTGCTGGAGGCCGCCCAGCCCTACGCCAGCCACACCCAGCGCTGGGTGGTGCTGCCGCTGCACAGCGCCCTCTCTGTGGCCGACCAGGACAAGGTATCCCGGCAGCCAGGCAGGGTGGGGTCTGGCTGTGTGTGCCCGGGGAGGAGGGGGTGACTGCACCTGGAGGGCTGCAGGGCTGCTCCCATTATCTGGGGGCGGTGGTGCCAGGGTGGGACTCCTGGTAAAGTGGGAGGCATTGGAGCTTAACTGTGGGGGCCTAGGAGGGTTTGGAGTAGGAGACAGGCAGCCCAGGCAGGGGCACCAGCTTGAGCAAATGTATGGATGTGGGAATCTGTGAGTGGGTGTGAGGAAAGGTGAAGAGATCACCAGGCTGGAAAGGAAGGGTGCGGAGAGAGAGCAATTCGGGCCACTCTATTAGTTATAAATTTCCCCCAATCTTAGCAGCTTGGAATAATGACCATTCATTATCTCACATAGTTTCTGTAGATCAGGGGTTGGGAAGTGGCTTAGCTGGGGGGTTTCTGGCTCAGGGTCTCTCATGAGGTTGTAGGTGGCTGGGGCTACACTCACTCGAAGGCTTGACTGGGGCTAGCGGTCCTCACTCACGTGGCTGGCTGTTGGCTGGGGGTCTCTCTAGGGGGCTGCTTCAGTGCCCCCGCAACATGGTGGCTGGTGCTCCCCAGGAGACCTAAACCGAAGCCACAGCGCCTCCTATGACCTGGTCTTGCAGCCACAGGCCCGTTTGGGCAGTGTCCTGTTAAGTTGTGTGTGTTCCCGGGGAAGGTGAGACGCCCTGGGGCCATCCTGGAGGCTGACTGCATGATCTCATCGGCCCAGGCATTGCTTGTTGATTGAAGACACGACCCTTGCGCATCTCCTTGGTGCCTCCCCTGGTGCTGAGGGGGCTCTTCGAGACACAGTGGGAGCCAAGACACGGCCCTTCCCCTTACGTGGCTGATGGTCTGCTGGGGGAGATGGACAAGTAATTGACAGTTTTACAAATGGTAGAGGAGCCTCCTGAACTCTGAGAGCAGAGTCTTGGTGGATTCAGGAAAGGCTTCCTGGAGGAAGGGGCTTTCAGAACTGACCCGAGAAAGCCGCAGCCTAAGAAGGGGGCCGGGAGAAGGGTCCAGCCGACGGGTGTGGAGCATCTGCTGTGAGTGGCAGGAGTTCTGGGCCCTGAACACTTGTCTCATTTCGTCCTCACCGCAGCCCTGCCTGCCGGCCCTGCTGTTATTCCCACTTAACAGATTATAGAATCAGAGGTACAGGTGCCTGTGCAAAGTCACATGAGAGGCAGAGCCAGGCTGCGCGTTGGGTAATGTGGCACCAGAGCCCATGCTCTTTTCTTAAAAAAAAAAAAATATTTTTTATTGATTTTTTACAGAGAGGAAGGGAGAGGGATAGA